TTTTTATCGCGAACCTCAACTGAGATCCATCTTCAACACTTTTCTTACTATACCATTTTTCAGGTTAATGACAAGAACAGGTTGCGCAGTTAATCCCATGCCCTTCAAATTTAAATATTTTTCTGTGGGAATTCTTGATATAAGATCCCATGAACTGTGATTTCATTCGACGTACATCCTTTTTAGAATGATGACGTCAAGACAGAAGTATGAGGCTTTCCGATAGTTTCCCCATGTCCACCGCTTTTCGCCTGAAAAGAAATTTGAAAACAGAATCATTATCCTTGTCAGTTAGTAGTTTGAGTTACAGTAGGGGTTAAAAATATTAGCATGAACGAATTTTTGAGTACTACTTTTTCTCCTGAAAAAAAAATCAAATAGAAATTCTGCTTTTCGAAAAATATTGGAGCTTTTGATATGTCAAATTAGAAACGAACTCGCCAAAAGAGAAAGGGTAGCGCGCAAAAAATCACCTCTGCTTATATCCTTTTCACCGTAACTCTTAACGGTAAGGTTTTCCAGCATTCCAGCAAAAGGAGAGGAACATGGATTGCTGATACCCTTTCCAATGTACAATGTAAATCTTTCCGCAAAAAGAATTTGAAAACGAATAGCAAACTTCAAAGCATAAAGTGACCACCAGAAGATTGGAATGATTTTATTTGACAGAAAATTCACAGGAAAATAAGAAAGATGTACACATAAGAAGAGATGACTAAACTATGCACAAACCTAATCAAGTCATTTCCAAGGATTATTAAAGTCTTCCTTGTAAACAAAGACCGGCACTCACATGGAGAAATCCCGGAAGAACAACTATGGATTCCAGTAGGCCTTCCTTATTATCATACTAATGTATCTTGCGAAAAAAATAGAACTAACAAATGATGAACATTTCTAAAAACAATCAATCAGCAATAACAAATATGAATAATAAAGCCAACACGGAAAAGTTTCTAAAGGAAAACGCTCGCCTAAGTCTATTGCTTAATTTTAGAAAAATAAGTCTGAGATTCCTATTCTGAGAACAGCCTCAATAAAGCAAACAGTCACAGTAATAACAATATTATTACTAGCACGCGTAAATGTAAGTTCGGGGGCAACATTTATCAGAAGCTCGAGTAGCGGAGGCACTCATGTCGCAAACGACAGCTAATGCAACTTATTGCCTTATCTATACGAAAACGGTCACCAGTCCTCCTCGCGATGCCTGGCGAAATAGGGAGGTTCAGCACGATTTGCACGACATCCCGGTGAGCGTCCATATCTAATGAGGTGCATCAGAACTCTGTTCTGAATGTTAAATAGATATGACTGCCCTACACAACTCACTTCGATTACATCAAATCTCGAAGTCTGATTGGGCGTGTCACCGGAAATGACGTGGCAGCCACCGCACTTGATAGAAATTGCGCGGATAAGCTGCTTCCAGCATGCTTCGCTGATATCTGGCGGAGTATCTTATCCACGTGGCATCTAGCAAGTGCGATGGCTGCCACGTCATTTCCGGTGACACGCCCAATCAGAGTTCGAGATACCGACTGTAGATATATGAGTACGCTTCCCCGAACTACATTTTCATCCTGTATCACAATTAATATGGAGTAAATCAGATATTGATTAATGTGTATATGTATGATGTCCCAAAAGTCAGCGATAATTAGGACCTGGGTATAGGTGAGGAGGTGACGTCGAAACAACCGTGCGCGGCAAGGATGATTCGCGCCGCTGCAGACTTAACCCATTACCTGACCATTAGCAAATATGACCGCTCAGAATGCGCTTTTAACCAACACATCCCAATGGTCAATCGGGACACCACTATTATGACATGATTGAACTATTGAACTAACTATGAATGACATAAAAAAGCTCATGTGGTAAGAAAACGGCAGGCAAAAACTGAAAGGCCGGCAAACCGCCCCTACAAAAAACATTTGGAATTAAATCTCTTAAAATGATGTCATTTAGAGAAAAGCCTCATAAACGCAAAAAATGCTCCTAAGTGAAGTGTTGACATCATAATAGTCAGAAAATTGGTCTTTAATAGGGAAAAGGCAAAAGGTAATTGAGGAAGCAATAAAGTGGGTTAAGAGCCGCCTCGCTTCGCGACGATCTTGTTCGGTCAAGGTCTACTGGTAGGCCAAACACGTGGTACAGTGTTGCCAATGTCCATTTGCTTTGCTCCACACCTCCGTTGACAATCTTGTAGATCTCTTCCTGAAGCGATATTTCCTGATTTTCGCAACCTTTACTAGAGCTCAGCCACCATTGCACGGGTTATAATTACCTCAATGGATCCTTTTACAATAAAATTATGCACTGTAATAGTACGACGCTGCCCAATACGATCAATTCGGCCAACAGCCTGAAGGGTGAATGCTTAGAAAGATGAATATGCATGAATCATAAGCTCTTGTTTTGGTTTGATAATCAATAATATGAAACCTGGGAAAGCACGGATGTCTCTGTAATGGGTTCCATAAAAATGATGTGATTGGCTTCCGTTAGGTTCAGTCCATTCTCGCACCCATCGGAAGAGGCATCAATAGAATCTAAAATTTCGTCATCAGTGAAATGAATGGCATTAGAAAAAACTAAATTACAAATCTCAATATGTTCCCAGGAGTTTTACAATTTCCCACAACCGATACATATAACAGGTAAACGGAAAGCGATCACTGCTTGTACCATCCCAAATCTACTGGTCCTTCGTCTGTCAACAGAAATACGTTCACACCGTAAGAGAAATTTTAGGAGCACGTTCCGCGATTACCTGAGAGGAGCAATCCACGAAGAGAAGGATACGCCGGCCCTAAAGCACACCCCACGATGAAATCAGGTTAACCAATCCCTTCAGTAGGCAGGATGGCGCTACTCACGAAAGTGTGCCGATCACGGCGCTATGGCTTTGACACATTCTTCCGCTGCTTCCATCGTTTTTCATGATGCGCTCTAGTAGCAGACTGTCAGCGCCCTCTCGCCTAGCTCTCTCGTCAAGGCTCAGGGTTCCAATGTCCCATCACACTCGTCATCACAAAATGAGGAGGCCTTCAATTTTAGGTTTTTGGCAGACTCTCCTTTTTCTTCATCACCGTCCGCTTCACCTCTGTTTTCATTTCTGAGTGCAAGAACCACAACAATCTTGATCGTGGCATGTGCGTTCAAGCATAAAGGAAGATAATATGAGAAGAGACCTTTCCGAGAGGCGGTGATGGTGGAGAGTGGGTCGCGACGAGACCCCCCCCCCCACAATTAGTGCCGTAAAAATCTTAAAATTTGCCCAATCTCACAGGTTCACCTTGGCATGTATCTAGAGAGCATTGAGCTCACTTATCCTCTGAGGCCTACACCTGGACCTCAAAACCCTAAATGTGAGGTTAAGTCGTTCCTGCACATTGAAGATTTCAATCCTCTCAAGTGGATTTTAGTTCCATAGCTACGGTGCAAAATTGGATAATGCGAAGTGAGCAGTTCTCTTCTGCATCTTCTATTAGGCAAGATATATATTGTTATGATGGAACTAGTGTTCAAAACTAACAAAAGTGCAAAGATATTTCGAGTTATACTGTGCTA